ACTTTTGTTCAGTAATTCTGTATTTTTTTTTCGCAAACGGACATTTTGACTTCCACTATTTATACACGGCAGCCGGGCATGTAAGTTGAGACAGACACTTCGAACTTTATGTCGCCTTTGTTAATTTACATGTAACTTAACTGAAGCTTTTCCTTTTACAAATATCGATGTCTCTGAACTAATAAGCTTATATTTTTATCAATAAACCTTAATTCGCTTAACAGTGATTGGAAGAGAAGCACTGGAATAATTCTGCAAAACTGCAAATCAAGAGCATAATGAATAATCAAAAGAACAATGTGGATTTCATACTTCAACAAAGGAGCTCAAAACAAAGTTATGTTCCTTCAATACATGAAGGCATTAGCCACTCAAATTTTTCACTAATAACTGATCTTGTTAGTTAATACTATTTTTTAATCCAATTTAAATGTTGAATTGCATTTTTCCCAATATTGTTCTGATTTTTTATGATCACCTATTTACATGTTTTTATAAATAACTTATCTAATGTGTTAATAAAATGCTCAAAATACAGCTGACCATCTTGCAACAGCACCTCTTACAATCTCCGAGTTATGTTGCCATTGGCAGCTTGATTGCTCTTGGCCCCAAGGGGCAAGACATGCCAAGTCAACAGTCTCAAATGCAACCGAGTATCATTCGGCGTAACATCTTATAATGTATTCAAAATCGCACCAGTGGCTCTAATAAACAATAGAGTTCGACTACGATACTCGGCGGCATGAGAAGTCAATTAGAACCTTAAGAAGGAAACCCTTCTATTGTTCATTCATTGATACGCCATACATTTCTTTTTTTAATGATTCCCGTTGAATTGGAATTCACCGGCTTCGATTTCTCAATGTATCCTTGTTATTTACAAGTTTACAAATTTACAAGTTTAATTCAATGAATAATAATAATTTATGAGTAATCATTTTGGTGGGATTTAGCGGTAAACTAGTTATTTTGGTCCTGTTCACACTACGACATAAAGCATTTCGAACAAAAGAAAAGACAAAGAAATGAAGTCAAGCGTGCAGCGATATAAGCATACCAAGTAACAGTAAAAGCAGAACATAATCTAATCAAAGACAAATGAATAAACAGTGAAAAACACCTTCCTATTTTACTTAATCCTTAAACCTTTTTTTTATGGAGCTTGTGCTTATCTTGAAGTCTGAACTGGCCCTTTGCGAGACTTGCAAGACCATGGTGTCAAAACGATCACTCAATCTATTCTTCTAATCGATAGTCTCGGCACGCAAAATTCTTACTTGTTATGTAAAACTAAGGAGAGATTAAATGGGAAAAGTAGATAAATATTGATAGATCTGAATTAAAACATGATAAAATTCTCACATATTACAAATATGATCCATCTAAAAATACAAGACTCAGACAAGTTTACAAGTAAACACAAAGACTCCAAGCAATGGAAGTGTAAATGGCATCGTCGAAATCATCGCTAAATTCCGAAATCAATACTATAGATTCCTCGGTAGAACTTCTTCTTTCTCATCGGAATTCTACATTGATATTAAATCAGAGATCCTTCTTACCTGAAAGTTTATAGTTCTGATTTCGGAATATTGCACCAGCCAACTCCCCAAA